TTGTTTACCCCCCCCCCCCCCCCCAATTCCACATACGAATGGACATTGTTTTTGTAACTGATAAATTCAACCTTACCTTATGGTATTTGAAGATGAAATTTCCAAAGGTTTAGACAAGAACAGTACAATGAAGTCAATGGAAAGCTGCCTTGTTTATATACGGATCTCTTTTCACCTTTAATTTATAATGTCAGGATAAATTCAACCTTACCTTATGGTATTTGAAGATGAAATTTCCAAAGGTTTAGACAAGAACAGTACAATGAAGTCAATGGAAAGCTGCCTTGTTTATATACGGATCTCTTTTCACCTTTAATTTATAATGTCAGCAATCTGGAACTGAGAAAACATCGGGATGCTGTACTTTTTAGAGGCTGGGGTTTAAAAAAAAAAGAAGAGGTTTTTTTTTTTTTTTTTTTTAATGGTTCTTATTATTGTTATTCAACTGGTTGCGATTTGTCACCCATAGTATAACTGATCATAGTTTCCCTGCGTTTCTGAGACTTGTGTTTAACAGCAAACAGCAATGTTGTTTGTGCTTTGTGTTGGTTAAAGACTAAGCCGCCTTAGGTTTCACTAATTTCAAAATTAGCTTGGGTTTTTGTTGTTGAAATATTAAAAAAGCAAATCCTTCTTGTAAATAGCATCCCTTTGAAAGGAAACGTGCTGGGTGTTTGTTTTTTCCCCCTGTTTGAACCTAACACACCAAATGTATAGTGGGCTGATTTTAGCTTTGCCTTTTTAAGTTTATCTGTAGGTAAGGAATATACCAAATCCTTAGTATTAAGGTCTCTCTTAAGAGACTGTTTCTAGTACAGGGCTCACTTCTCCACAGTGATACCATTGTAAATATTACTAAAAAGTACACATCGCTGTGATATGCAAGAGTAATAAGCAGTGCTAATCATGATGTCTTAGATCCAGGCACAAAATGGCAAAAGAAATGCCAGACAACTCCTGTGTAACGGAGAAGGTAGTTTAGGTGGAAGAGAGCCACGTCAGACGGAAAGTCTCCTGGTTTAGGTAATCGCAGGGCAAAGATAAACCATTTAGGGAGGCGGACGAGTGTCCCAGGGAACAGGACGCTCATTTTCAAATGGGGTGGGGTCGGCTGTCCTGCCGCACCGTGCTCATCCTCTGGCTGACTTTCTTTCGTACCAAATGAAGACGCACATGAATGCCCGGCTGGCTCTTGTTGCAGCGCACTGGCAGGTGTTCATAATATTAGTTCTGAGAAGCTGCATTCTGGTTGTCTAATGGAGGAGTTGTTCTGAGCTGGGATTAATTGGAAACCAAATGCAGATTTTAAAGTTTACTGTACATTTATCAAGCAGGGATCGAATTGGCTCTTTCTATAGTTTACTTAGTGTGTGAGTCATCCATTCATTCAGCAATCTGATTAGTGAAGCTCATTAATTTGTTATAACTAAAATGCATTTCTGTTTAAATGAGTTTTAATGTTTGTAAGCAAAATTAACTCCTGCGGGGTTTTTTTTCTATTTGGAAACTTTACGACTATGCTTTGTGGTGGCTTCTTTAATTGTTTCAACCTGTTGTATAAATGCACACGGCATCATTTAGATGGTGTTCCTAGCATCTCTTTCTGGGATATTCCATATGTGTTTTAGAGAACTGAAGGAGTTGTATAAGTTACTTTTTATACTATGGTAAAACTTGAGGGGAAAAAAACGCGTTCATCAAAGTTCTTTTTTCCAACTGTACATAGTTTCTGCATATTATCTATAGAAAAGATATACTATCACCTATGCAAGGTTGCAAAATTATCTCCTAAAAAGAGCCTTATGAATCTGATGTGAAAACCTATGCAGCCTCTGTGCATCTTGCATTGAAACACACAGTAAATTATTTCTTCACTCAGTATAAATAATTTCCCCCAGATTATACTTGTCATTGAGATTGTCATAACATACGCTCTGTCGCTGATCTTCATGGTTCTATGGCAATTGCAATGTGTATGATGATGACAGCCTTCTCCATGAGGTTAGGACATTTCATTCTTGTAAGGATGTGT